CTGAGACCAACAGATGGAGTAATAGTTACACTGCTGGACTCCCACATAGTCAACTATGGTTCGAGTCCCAGACCCAGTGGCTTAAAACTCATGCCAGGCACATGTGCGTGTATGCCCCAAATCCTGAGAGGATACTGGAGGAAAAGGGATTGCAGCGTGGCCACCCCCCTGCGAGGGTGATTTCTCGCTTTGTCTAGCTCTCTGGTGAGCATATGCACCCTATGACAAAAATCTCTTTAAAAAAAAATTAAGACTGTCACTTGAGCACACCCTCCACGTGTTATCACACTGAATGATTACAGTGCCATGAGGCACCGTCATTACTATTAGGCCTATCGTAGAGATAAGGAAATGCGGGCTCTGAAGGTTAAGCAACCTGCCGAGGCCATATACTAACCAATGGTGGAGCTTGGATTTAAACTCAGGGGGCCTAGTCATAGAGCCCGTGCTCTTAATCACTGAGTAACAGGCTTCCCAGCAGGTTCATAAGCCAAAGAAGGCAAAGGAGTTCAGTTGCTTTTAGCCATTGTTCAGATGGGTCTCCGTCAATGCCCTGCTCCCCCCTACCTTTGCCACCAGCTCGTAGAGGGCTGCAAGGATCTGCAGAGAGGCTGCTGTCTGCTGGAGACACCGCATGGCTGGGGCCTGCTCCTTTGTAAGCACCTCCTTCCACAGGGCCAGGGCTTGGTCCAGGCATTTTGACTGAGCTAAGTAGTCAGAACCAAAGGACAATTCTCTTCACATGGGTCATCTGGAGGGCACTCAGCTTCTCTATAACATCCTCTGCCCTTTATGCCAACCCCCCTCCCCACCACCACCTGCCTCCCACCAGCCTCTCCCACACTGGGGGTCCCACACCATTCTGCACTTAGGAAACCACTGGGCTGACGGCCCTCACCAGCATCCGCAGCCAAGTTGAAGGCAATGTTACTGTACAGGAAACGATCTTCCTGAAGTTTATCTTCATAGTTCAGGTCGTTGACTTCAAATTCCTCCAGGTTACTAGGGGCCTGGGCTCTCCGATCACGCTCAATACCCTGGATGGGGCGATCAGGGTGAAAAACAAGGCTGGTACCAGCTTCCTGGGAGCCCAGGGGAAAGAATTCCTACCAACAGTTCTGCTACTCCTACAACAGCCACACTCACTTCCTGCATTTTGGCCTCCAGGGTACAGATGTAGAACCACAGCAAGGCCTGTGCTTTATCATCCAGAAGCTGACCCTCGGCCTGGGCCTCTGGCTTCACAGACTCCAGAAGCTGCAGGGCTTCCTGAATAGCATCCAGGGCAGAGCTGTGGGGAGAGGATGCCTTTACACTAGATCCGCTGGAGGACAGCCCACTACAGGGAAGGGCCTGCTGCAGGACAGCTGGCCTCCCCCTGCACAGGAGCTCTGCGGCCACAGAATGAGGGGACACTGAGGGATGTGGAGAGGGAAGCTGGCCCTGAAAAGCATGAGAGATCTAGGGCAAGGAGCAACGTGGCCCCGGCTATTCCTCCTCACCAGTTGGTCTGCTGGGCAAAGTCATGGTAGCAGAGCACCTGAGCCAGCTCCACCAGGTGGGTGGCTCGTGCCCATGCCCCGGCTGGTGTCTCCTCGGGGCTCAGTTCCAGCAGGTCACAGATGACGTTGAAGCGTTCCTGCCCAGTATTGGCTCGCACCGCCTTGTAGGCCTGCAGCTCCTCCTGCAGCAGGAGGGCCAGGGTCTCCGGATCCCAGCCACTCAGGCTATCTCGCAGCGTCCTGAGAGAGGACAAGCTCAGCACTGGGGTAGAGCCCATGGCACACAGAGCCTCTGCCCCGACTCGCAGAGCCCCAGCCTTGGCTTATTGAGAGTTCAGTAAATCAGTCATGGCTTTAGAAGTCAGCCTTCACTCCTGTTTACCACAGTGCGGTGGGCTGCCACCAGGAATCATATCCAACCCCCTGACCACGGCCTCAATGGCCCCTGTGTGACACGGCCTCTGCCCACCTTGCCCTCCTCATTCCATGAGGCTCCCCAGCCCGCTCCACTAGCCCACCACCTCCCAGCATGCTGTCTTGCTCAAGCATATTCCTAAGCTAGTTCCCACCTTGAAGCCTTTGCATTTACTTCTCCCTCGGTAAGTTCTCTGCTCTGAGGTCCACGAATGGTGGATTCCCACTCATTCTCGGGTCTCATCTGCCACTGCTTCAAACAGGGCTTCCCAAAATAACTCATTCTAAAGTTGCTCCTCTCTAAGCAAGTCACCCTGTTTAAACAGCTTTTTGTATCTCCCATGTGGAAGAGAAACTCTCTGAAAGCAAGAACACTGTCTATCCCCACTGTACCCCCGGCACCAAGCACGTGGTTGGCAGAAAACAGGCACTGAATGAATCATGGACGAATGAAGGGGTCGCTTTCTCTGTCAATCACAAGGATGGGAGGACATGACCGTGAGTACAAAGAGCCACCCTCGCTGGGGGCCAGCGGGTGGTGTGATGGTTGGAGCATCGAATTCCCACATGGCTGACCATGGTTTGGGTCCCAGATCCCACAGCTTGAGGATTGTGCCAGATACATATGCGTGCTTGCCCAAAATCCCAAGAGGAGAATAGAGAAGGGATTGTGGTGTGGCCTTCCCTTTCTCTGTCTCTCTCTTCCCTTTCTCTGTCACACTCCCTATGGCAAAAACCTTAAAAAAAAAAAGTCACCCTCCCATGGGGCAACATGGCATTCCCCATCCCCACCAACTCACTTTAGCTGCAGCTCCTTGTCTCCAGCTCTGGCAGCATCCATCTTGACTCGAACCCAGAAGGTAACTGGTTCAACCATGTGCTCGGGGCTATAGGACCGCAGGGCTGCCAGCCACAAAGTCACCATAGTGCAGCCCTCGACCTGTTTACCGAGTTTCTTCAAACTCTCTACATGCAGCCGGAAGCATCTGTGCAACTGAGCAGAGAAAGGGAAAAGGGAACAGGCTAAACTAGAGGAGAAAGCAATGTGTGTGCAGCAGGCAATGTGCATACGTCCAGGTACGTACTCCACAGTGGGGGCCTGGCATTTGGTCCTCCTGCCCCTGCCCCCACACCAAGGCAGGGACATCTAAGAGCTACATGCTGGGTGCTCTCAACTTTGGAGGCTCCAATCCATCCCACCTCCACCTTAGACATTCACACCCTTGAAGACCTGCTCCTCCTTTACCCCTTCCTTCTCCTGCGTCAGAAACACAAGGCTTGTCCTTCTCTCCTTCCTTCCCAACCAGTCACTTACCAAGTAATCCTGCCTGCACGTGCCCACCCAGTTATCCCCACCTCTCGAGAGCAGCTTCAGTTCAGTCCACCTTTTCCTGCCTAGGCTACCACAGCAGCCTGGTTACCCAGGCCTGCCCCTTGCACCCTATTTGCCACAGGAATCCAAAATGACAATCTGATGTCATGCTTCCACTTAAATCCTTTAAAGGCTCATCATCTTGCTCAAGAGGAAACCCAAGGCCCTCCATGACCCGTCTTCCTTGCCAATCCAGCCAACCCATTAGTTCATAGATATTCTTGCTTAAGACCTTGGTTCTCCAAAGGACCATCTTGGGGAACTTTCAAAATATTCAGATGTCTGGGCTCCGGCACCAGAGATTCTGATGCAATTAACCTGGAACAGGCATTAGACTTTTTTTTTTTTTTTTTAAGAGATTTTTGCTATAGGGCGTGTGCACTTGTCATAGAAACCGAGAGAGACAGAAAGTGAGATATCACCCTCCGAGGGGATGACCACACCACAATCTCTTCTCCTCCATTCTCCTTTTGGGATCTTGGGCGCGCACACACACACGCACACACACAAAAGCCTAGCATGAGTTTTAAGTCACTGGGTCCATGACTCGAGCTGTGGTTGACTACATGGGAGTCCAGCAGTGTAACCATTACACCACCTGCTAGTCCCCTTTAGACTGTTTTCAAAGTTCATTCAGGTGATTCTAATAGGCAGCTAGGTTGAGACCCATTGGCTTTGGCCGGGCAAACTATGAAGAGGAGATGTTAAGAACAATATTAACTAACAGCACAGTTGAGGTTTGGGAAATGCTGCCCCAGGTTCTGGTGCCAACGAGCAGCTCCCAACACCTACTTTAAGGCAGGGCTGTGGCCAGGTCCTTTCATGCTACTCCAGCCCCACCACCGCACAGCCTCTTCCTATCCTTCTCGTTCACTCTTACCTTCTCAGGAGGCACCGCTGGGTAAGTGCCTGGCTTCGCCAAACCCAGGTGTTGACAGAGCGGCTCAGAGATGGCACAGGCCTCGGCATAGAGCTTGTGACTATAGAAGCTGTAGGTCAAGTTACTGGTGTAGGAGGCTGCAGGGCACAGAAAAGACAATTGGCCATAGAAATGGTTCCCACTGCCCCCTCCTGCTGGGGAGGTAGACGTTCAGCCCAGCAGCCTCTAGTCCAGACAGAAACCCCTACTGCTAGGAAATGTGGAAGGGCAGACTTTCCCTTCCTGTTCAAGTCAGCCTACGCCCTCCATTTGGGTAAGGTGACCCCCACACCACCCAGCCCCTGCACTTGCTTTACAAGGGCTGAGTCCTCGTTCTCCACCAGGCCCAACGCAATCTCTGCCAGCAAAGTGCTTCAAAGGTCAGCACTCGGGGAAACACCCTGGCCTGTCTCTCACCTGCCACTCTTCCCTTCATTTCAGCAAAGCCCTGCTAACCTCCTTGCTATTCCTCAAATACCAGATCCTCTCCTGCCTCAAGGCCTTGGCTCTCTCCAGGTGAGCACACACGCCCTATAGGAAAAATCTCTATTAAAAAAAAGGGGGGATCAGGGACCAGCAGTGGGCATAATGGCTATGTCACTAGACTCCCATGAAGTTGACTGTGGTTTGAGTCCCAGACCCAGTGGCTTAAACTCACTCTGGGCACATGTGCGTGCGTGCCCAAGGTCCCGAGAGGAGAATGGAAGAGAAGAGATTGTGGTGTGGCCATCCCCCCTCGGGGGTGATTTCTCACTTTCTGTCTCTGTCTTTCTCTGTCTTTCTGGCGAGCACACGTGCCCTATAGCAAAAACCTCTCCAAAAAAAAAAAAAAAACAGGGAGGACAGAAATGGGGAGTAATATGTATGTGTGTTGGCTTATATCTGTACATAGAATATGTCAACAAAGATATATAAGAAATTGATAGCAGTTTGCAGAGGGGAACTTGGGTGACTAGGATTAGAAGTAGAAGAGAGACTTTTCATTATGTGTCTTTTTCTTTCTAAAGAATAGATTTTATTCATTTACTTATTTTTATTTATTTAAGGTTTTTGCCATAGAGTACATGTGCTTGCCAGAGGGAAAAGAGAGAGGGAAAGTGAGAAATTACACCCCCTCAGGGGGGATGGCCATGCTGCAATCCCTCTTCTCCATTCTCTTCTTGGGATTTTAGACACACACACACACATACCTGCTGTGATTTTCAAGCCACCAGGTCCAGGTCTCAAACTGCAATTGGCCATGTGAGAGTCCAGTGCCTTAACCACTAGTCCACCTGCTGGTAGCACTATATGTCATTTTTGTACAATTTGAATTTTGAAGCATGTGGGTGTTTTACCTGGTTTTTAAAATGTTAAGGTCTAGGGACCAGCAGATGGTGTAATGGTTACATTGCTGGACTACTACGTAGTTGACCATGGTTTGAGTCCTGGACCCAGGGGCTTGAAACTCATGCCGAGCGCATGTGAGTCTGTGCATCCGTGCCCAAAAATCCCAAGAGGAGAATGGAAGAGCAGGAACTGCGATGTCGCCATCCTCCTGTGGGATGATTTCTCACCTTCTGTCTCTCCAGTGAGCACACACACACCATATGGCAAAAATCTCTTTAAAAAAATATTGTTATAAATGGTGTTTAAAATGGGGGGGAGGGCAGCAGATGGCGTGGTGTTTAAAGGCACTAGAGATTTTCACATGGCCAACTGAGGTTCAAGTCCCAGACCTGGCAACTTGCTTTCCCTTTCTCTCTCTGGTCAAATTAAAAAAATAATAATAACAAATGGAATTAAATAAATAATTCTTTTTAAAAATATTTTTTAAGGGGAACCAGCAGTTACTGTAATGGCTATGTCGCTGGACTCCCATGTAGTTGACTGCG